TCTGCTGGATGGTTAAGACCAAGATAAAGCAAGACTTGTGTAACAAGAAATGTAACTTTTGTATCTGATAAGGTCAGTCAAGTCCCCTCAGGATTTATCCTGTAACCCTGTACCACAGTTTGCAGATCCTTTGTCAGTTTCAGCCATGTGGATAAGTCACAGCCATTGCTTGACCAACTGGCCAGTCCCTCTTCACTGGTTCTCTTCATCATCAAATGCCACAGGTATCCCTGTCCTTTCCTCCAAAAAGCCTTCAAGGGCTGGCCATGGTGTAGCGTGCCTGCAATCCAAGGCACTCAAGTGGGCTGAAGTGGGAAGATGGCAAGTTGAAGGCCAGCTTGGGTGACAGAGGGAAACTGTCTGGAATTAAAAGGGCTGGGATGTATAGAGCCTAGTGGTAGAGCCCTTATCTAACATGCATAAGGCCCTCAGTTCAATCTTTGACCCTGGGTGGGGGAGGGGGAAGGTTTTCAGTTAGGTTGGTGACCCCTTCCCTACCTGTCCTTACTGATTCCACTTACGACCAAAGGTCCTAAACAAGAGGCTCCCACTCCAGGCCCTTCTTTCTGAACTATACCTGCTTTCTGTGAACTTATGTCTAACTTCTAGCCCCCATCCCATGGCTTAGATGGATTCTCAGCACCATGGATTTTCTTTCCATTTGTCAAGTCTGACGACCTTGTTCCTGTTAACCCTCTTACAGTGGCTAAGAGGCTCTTCCTTCTGCCAGAGCTCTTCCTGTATATGTTATTCTATGTATATGTCTGTGTATATATTATTCTCACATCCCTTTTATCTTTAGTGTTTTTAATTATGAATGTAATAACATTACTTGTAAAACAGGAAAACATCCAGGGACATACAGAGAAAATTTAATACATTTTCCCTCAATTTGCACCCCCTTCATGTGACCTATGTCACCAGCCTGGTGTGTATGCTTCTGCCAAAGACCCATCCATGTACTTGTAAACATCACTCCACACAGGGTCAAAAAGGTTTTCCTCCACACTGGTTGTATCGAAACTCACCATATTCTACTTGGTACCATGCAACTTGCTTGTCTCCTGTAAAAAAAACCTCATAGAGATCCCTCTCAGTGAACTCATTAAAAACTCTTACACAAGGGCCAGGAAGATAGCTCAGCAGCATAAGTGCCTGTCTGGTGAGCGCAAGGTCCCAAGTCCACTGGTAAAAAAAGAAAAAGAAAAAGAAAGAAGGAAAGAAAAAAAACAAAACAAAACACTACACTTTCTTTTGCTTTTAATAATAAGCTTTATTGGGGCCAGCAAGATAGCTCAGTAGAGGGGCTGGAGAGATGGCTCAGTGGTCTAAAGCACCTACTTGGAACAAGCTTGGCAAAGCGCAGGGACCACGGTTCGATCCCCCAGCACCACATGCC